GCTAGCCAGGATTTCCCACTTCCATGCTAAGGATTTAATGCGTAGTAAGACCCATCCTTCTCGCTTGCTCATCAGAAAGGGAAGAGCTTGTCTCTCCTCTTCCAGCAGGGGGAATCTCTTTCTTCCGTGTCTCAGTCCTCAGCAGGGAAAAGGTCCTGTGTCCAGTCACTTGCCGATCAAAGCTCTTTTGTGCCAGCTGCTGAGTGCGGAGCTTGGTGAGGAAGTTGCTGGGCAGTTCAGTCCCGCTTATTGCTTAGGCTTGCCCTGTTCAGTTCAGAGTAGATGCAAAGCTTGGCATTTGGGGCTTTGACAGTGCCGCAGAGTGATTCATCCCATTTCCTTGTGAGTGGACATGCAGAAACTTGCCCTGCTTGCTTCTGGGTAGTTTAAAATTGCTACGGATCTCATTTTGGCCCTGTCCTTCTGCCTTTGGCCACACCCACTTAGCCTTTGGCCTTGTCCGCAGGTGGAATGCAGTCTCAGAGGCCTTTCCTAGACTGGAATTCAGCCCTTGGACTGAAAACGATTTGGTCCAACCCACATCTTACAGCGTCTTCCTTCTGTTGCTGCAGTTCCTAGCTGCTTCTCCATGTGGGTTTGGTGGCTTCACCTCAGTAGGATTAGGCTTAATGTTCATCCTTGAAGCTTTGCCATCCTTCCAGACTTTGCCACCGTCTCTCTGTATGCTTTCCAGGCTGAACATTGAGGAACCCTCTGATTCCTTGGAAGCCTTCTAGGGTCAGAAGGCTAGTAATGGGCAAGAGTCAGTCATGGACTCGTAATCTAACCTACCTTGCAGGCTTGTTTTTGTGAAGATAAAAATGGAGTGGAGAAGCACGTAGGCTGCCTTAGGTCCCACACGGGGGGGGGGGGGGCCGAAAAAAAATTTTTGGGGGGGGGGAGCTACCCTGAAATAAAAAACCGTTTTCCCTTTTTACCCCCCCCCCCCCCCGTTAAATGCCTGGATGTATTAAAAGGAGTGGAGCCTTGTTCGTGTGCGGAGAAAGCCTGATGAACCAAGCGAGTAGTCCCAAGATAAGAACCAGGATATTTTGAAATGCATAGGAGGTTCTGCAAGAGACAGTACCATGTGAAAAGGCTTTCTTGGAGAAAGGAAAGTTCAGAACTGCTCTTTAGCCGATTATCAAGACAAACGCACAAGTTATTGCCATTGTAAGAATAAACAATTTTTGTTTTTCTTTGGCAGGTTCAATTTTATTTACAACTGAATTTCCTGAAGTGTGTGGTAGAAGCCGTCTCTGTGAGAACAGCTTTAAAATGTAGAAGAGAAAACATGATGCAAGGATTTTTTTATGTCTCTTTCCCTCCAGTTTTTTCCCTCCCCAAACTTTCTGCCATCTGAATAGGAAAGTGAATCTTTACTGTTTAGATAGTGGAATGACATGTGTAATTGTGTTTTAATCACCTATGTTGTAATAGTCACCTTTTTTTTTTAATAACATTAAACAAAATGAACTCATTCTCCTTTCATGTGTTTCAAATGTGGGGAACTGATTACTAATAGCATGGTCCTTTGCATATAAGCTTACACAAGTTCTTGAACCCAGGACCTGAGGGACAGCCAGGTGCGGTTCCACTTGGATTCCGTCCCTCACTTCTGCCCAGCCAAGAGACCATTGCAGCCCCTGGGGAGGATTTTGCCCCTCTCCCCCCTCACTTGCGAGTTCCACAAACTCACGTGCAGGATGAAGCTGGGAAGACTGACCTGGAGAAGAAAAGGAATGGCAAAAAAGGATGGAGTGGGCACAAAGTGCAATTCTATTTCTGGCTTTCACAACTAAGCCCTTTTTTCAGCAGTTTGCAGAATTGCTGTTAGATTCAGACAGTGATATGCTTCAGGGGGGCATTAACCGAACTTTGCATTTTAACTTTCAGATGTTACTGAGTTAAATAGGAGGTCCACATTTGCCATCAGTTCAGGCTAAGTAGCTTAAGTTCCTTCACACTAACATTTCTAGTATATGGACTGAGCAAGAGCGACAAAATACTGCCATTGAATGCCGTTGTTGCAACTTTAATGTCTTATCCTCCAAATAGTCTTAACAACAGAGATTCAGTTTCCATTCTAGATATAGAACACTGTATTTCTATAGCTATAAAGGTAAAAGTTTCCCCTTGATGTTACGTCCAGTCATGCCTGACTCTAGGGGGTGGTGCTCATCTCCGTTTCCTAGCCGAGGGGGCCAGCGTTTGTCCATGGCCATGTGGCCAGCATGACTAAACACCGAAGTGCACGGAACGCTGTTACCTGACCACCAAAGTGGCACCTTTTTATCTACTCGCATTTGCATGCTTTCGAACTGCAAGGGTGGCAGGAGCTGGGATGGAGCAACGGGAACTCACTCAGTTGTGCAGATTCGAACCGGCGACCTTTCGATCAACCAGCCCACCCAGCAGCACAGCGGTTTAAACCACTGCACCACCTGCAGTCCCTTCTATAGCTATAGATTTATCCATATCTTCATACTATAAAATGCCAAGCAGCCATTGTGATTTCTCAAACATTCAGAAGAAAGTCCAATTGAATTCAGTGAGGCTCACACCCAGGTAAGTGGCAACAGATTAACACTTTGGTGCAAAATCTAGTATTGTCAGCTATAGATGATCCCATAGGTGACAATTTGGTGTTGGACAGAGCTACTTGTAGACAATTTGAGGGTTTTCAACTGAGGCTGCATATTCTGCTGTTGTATGAAAGTGATGTATCAATGCTTCTGCTTCTGGGTGTTTGGCTCCACATCTAGGCACAATGTACAGCTCCTTTCATTTAAATACTGTGCTAATACTTTTTGGCAATGAATTTATATCGACAGCTAAAGGTGGTTTACCAGATATAACATACCAAACTATAACCATAAAATAAATATTAAAACTATAATGCTACACTGATATTAAATATAGTATCACATTAAATAATGCATATTAAAATATCCTCAGGGTGTTAAAAGTGTTAAAAATTAGGAGCAAGGGATGCAAACCTTAAAACCAGCCCAGAGGGTTTAACACTTGAATGCAAACAGGTTAGTTTTCATTTTGCCGCAAACTTCCAGTGACTTATATTGGATTGTTCTATTCTGCACCTAGCTTTAATGTTAGTGGCTGGATTTTAATGACTAGGGGAAGGGAAGGAATGTGCAAGAATACTAGTGGCATCCTTCTCCCATCCTACTTGTGTGTTGTCTCATTTTTGTAATGCCTGTGCTGTGTGTGAATTGCTGTTGTTCAAACCATACAAGGGTGGCATCCAAGCCATCCAGGAATGCTAGAGCAAATCATGGATTGCAGGATAATTTGGAAGTCATCCTTGCTTCCCATCCTGGGGGTTTTGATGGACCTAGTACAGATAATCGGGGAACTGAGGTGCCGCGCAACTGGCTTGCATAGGATGGGGAAAAGCTGCTGTTGCGGTTTCCTTTCCAGTTATGCAAACTCAGTCAGTACCCACGGTCTTGCATCTGCCCAGTGTTGGGGTGCAAGATGGGCATGACACCCCGAATCAATATCTAGCAGTACTCAAATGGATCAGGAACTTGGTAATGTGCATTTCTAAACTTCGGGTTGTCCCAAATAATACAAATCTAAGCCTGGGGAACGTGCCACCAGCCTAGGTAGCATTCAGACAGTTCACAAGATACGTAGTCTGTTGGGGACAACGCACATGAGCTACACTATTTCTAAGCTTTCCATGCTTACCAAGAAGGGAGAAATGGTAGCCAATAAAAATAAATCCACAGTCCTGTCAGTGTGCCTTAAAATGTCTTTATTTCAAAGCAATCTAATAAAACATTCAGACTATTCCTACCACAGTGTACAGATAGGAAACATAGGGTGACATCAAGCACATACACACATGCTAAAGAGCTAGCATTTTAGTGTTGAAGGTCCTGAACCACACGGATCAATGACCTCTGGCATGTTGCTGCTCATGAGATGCTACTTCCGGCTGTTGGAGTATTTGCATCATGTGCCAAGTGAGTCGCTGGGTGCAGATGTGAGCACTGCAATTATGCACCCAGGACATGGCAACAATCCAAGTGCCATCAGTGCCGCCTGGGATGTTCCACAGACCCAGGGGTAATCCTGCTTGGACTAGACCTGCTGAAAGTTAGTCACGACTAGCATCACTGTAGTCCAGGGTGGTGCAGTGGTGAGGTTTGGACTCGGGAGATCCAGGTTATAGTCCCAACCCAGCCACAAAGCTGACTTTTGCTCACTGACACGCAGCTTAACCTACCTTACGAGGTTGTTGCAACATAAACTAGAGCTTTGTGAGACACCTTGGGATACTTGCAAGACTTAGAAAGGCGGGGTTTGAATTTAATGTATTATGGTGGTGTGTTACTATTATTTATTAGTATTGTTCCCGGTAGCAGAACAGGGAGTACTCTAGGGAGAGTACAACAAAAAGTTCTAGCAAGAATATTCAAATCCTGGGCAATCCTATGTCTTGGATCCCACTTTCATTATTGCTATCTCTGGCCTTTGGGGGCATTTTTTACCCTGTATCTGCCGGGAAGGGCTGATCTCTCACTACTAACGAAAAACATACTGAACCATGTGACCTAGGACAGTTGCTGTTTCCCCACTACAGTTGCGTGTAATATTTTTCGATATTGCACCCAGGGAGGGCAGGACGGCCCGGCAGCCCGAAGCCACGGGCGGCCCCCCCTTCCGAAAGAGCCAAGCGCGGGGCGCCCCGGCCCCGCTCCCCGGGGCTCCCGGGGGCGCCCCTCGTCGCGAGGGGTTGGGGCTCGGGTCGGGCCCCAGGGCCTAGCGGCGGCGCCCCCCGCGACCCCCGCTCGGGCAGAGGGCGCCGCGCCGCGCCGCCGGGGGGCCCCCGCACGGGAAGGCGCGCCGGCACCGCCTCCGCGCG